ACCGGGGCAAGGGCCACCACAGAAGGACATGGAACCAAAATGATGCACTAAGCCATGACTGACAGCTGGGATGGACAGTCACAATTAGCCAGGTAACCGGACCAGTCCGGACAGACACACAGTCCATTGTAAACCGAAACACGAGGTGAACCCACATGCGGCCCTCACCTATCACTTTCACATATCCGATAGCTCCCCATGCCCGCAATAGATAACGACAATAAAGCACTCTGCAACTCATGCTACCTATGTTGCCAAAACTGATGACGTTCCGATGACCTCACCTGTACCCCTGACCTACCTCCTGACGCTCATCATCATACCTACGCACTTAGCCCAAGTCAATGACTGACTTGAACCATTTAACCACAACAAAAGATGATAACCAAGAAGCCGGCTAGTAGTTCAGCGGACATAACCACTGAGAACTATACCTTGTTACATGTTATAGTTGGTTCTTAATTATTAGACCAGCATGTTTTTCCTAAACTGAGGCCCACGGTAACTCAGGGAAGATATACATTGCATAGGGCCATACTTGTTATGTGTGCAACCTGCTGTTTCCCTTTTCTTATTCTGTACCCCATACACTTTCATATCTCAATAAAAAAGTGATTGACAAAATAAATAAATAAAATAAAAATGTAGTAATAATAAAAATAAAATGTAATATTAAAATAATAATAATAAAAATAATAAAAATGCCCACCCCCCACCAAGGTTACACACTCTGCATTCATACACACACACACACACACTGCATTCATACACACACTGCATTCATACAAACACAGACTGCATTCATACACACACTGCACTCATACACACACACAACACACACATACACTGCATTCATACAAACACACACATACACACACTGCATTCATACATACACACACACACGCTGCATTCATACATACACACAGCATTCATACACACACACACTGCATTCATACATACACACACACACGCTGCATTCATACATACACACACACACACTGCATTCATACACACACACACTGCATTCATACATACACACACACTGCATTATATACACACACACTCTGCATTCATTATATAAACACACTGTAAATAAATATTCAATTATTAGAATTTTTTGGGGATCTAATTTTATTTAGAAATTTACCAGTAGCTGCTGCATTTCCCACCCTAGTCTTACACTCGAGTCAATAAGTTTTTCCAGTTTTTGGGGGTAAAATTAGGGGTCTCGACTTATATTCGGGTTGACTTATACTCGAGTATATACGGTATTCAGACAAACTGAAAAAAAAAAAAATAACTGTCCTAGGGCTAAGAGGACAGGAAAAGACTGAGGTGTGGATGCTACTGGGGTAACAATGCTTAATTGTTAATTGATTGTGTTTCCTGTCCTGAGGGTTAGAGGGAGGAGCTAAACCCATACGTTAAATGCTGCCATGATTAGCCAGGAACAAAAGTATCTTCATCTTTTCCTTCACAGCTTAATGAAGACGGAAACTACATTATCGCAGAAAAGGAAGATATTTGTAACATGAAATCTAATTCCAGGAAAAACAACAAAACAGGTAATAATACTCAATACTTAATTCACTAGTTAATCTATAATCTGACTCACGCAGTCAGGGTATTAAGAGAAAGTATAGAGTGTACAGGCCATAGACACATGGCATACAGGTAAATAATACACATTTCTAACAGAGTGTAGCTGTGATCTCTGTGTTGTGATAGTCATAGGCGTGCGCACGGGTTGGGCCGGGTGAGTCCTGCAGGAACGCGTGGGAACACCGTTCCCGCTGTTCCTGCAGGCACTCTGCCGCCCCAAAATGCCCTCCTCGTCCCTCCGTGTTCCCCCTGTCATGTGGGGGGGCCGGGGAGCAAGATGTGATGGACACCCCCCCTCCCGGTCAGGCGCCTATCTCCATACAACAAGCGGCGAGGGAGCTGTGTGCTCTCTGCTTCCGCTTGCCGCGCGCTGTTTGCTGATGCCGGGAGCCGGAATATGATGTCATATTCCGTCTCCCAGCTACTGTAGACAGCCCGCGCGGCGAGAGGAAGCAGAGAGCACACAGCTCCCTCGCCGCTTGTTGTATGGAGATAGGCGCCCGACCCACTGGACCCCAGGGACAAGTCCTCGCCAGGTCTCCAGGTAGGGAGGCTAGGTGGACAATTTTGAATTTAAAAAAAATAATTTGTGTATGTGTGTGAGTGTGTGTGTCTGTGAATGTATGTGTGTGTGTGTCTGTAAGTGTGTGTGTGTGTGTATGTGTGTCTGTGAGTGTATGTGTCTGTAAGTGTGTGTGTCTGTAAGTGTGTGTGTGTGTGTCTGTGAATGTATTTGTGTGTGTGTGTATGTGTGTCTGTGAATGTATGTGTGTGTGTGTCTGTGAGTGTGTGTGTGTGTCTGAGTATGTGTGTGTGAGTGTATGTGTGTGTATGCGTATATATACACACGAGTGTATATTATTATTTTTTGGGGGGGTGGGAATCTTGGGAGAGTTCCCACACTTTATTCCCCAGGACTTGACCCCTGCCGGCAGTGGAGATCTCTGGATCCTTAGGGAAAGCATTGGATTGGCTAAAATTGGTATGGGGTGGGCCAAATGCCATTTTGGCCAATCAGGATCTCCTCATAGAGATGCATTGAATCAATGCATCTCTATGAGGAAAATTCAGCGTCTCCATGCAGAGCATGGAGACGCTGAACGGCAGTGCTGCTTACTGTGCAGCCCTGAGCCAGGAAGCCCCTCCAGTGGCCATCTGAGGATTGGCCACTTGGTGGTTTCCCTAGGGGCAATGAAGAAGAGAAAAGGCAGTGTTTACATGAAAAGGCCTGAAGGGAGCTATTATACTCACCAGAACAACTACATTAAGCTATAGTTGCTCTGGTGACTATTGTGTCCCTTTAATGTAACAATTGTGTAATTAATTACAGATTTTAGGATCCTGGGTGACCTTCAAAGAGGAGCTCAAGCTGCTCAAGACATGGAGAAACTCTACAAAAAGTGTGAAATGTGAGTATTGTTTTTTTGTACATTTCAGTTGCGTTTTCCAGGGTTTTTGTGGCTGTTGTTTTCTAAAACACCGACATGCTTAAAGGAAAAACTGGCTCAGACAAACATGTTAGAATGAACGATTGTGTTACAAAATTCGACTCAATGCAGTGACATGACAGGTGTTTATTTTGACCTTTTTTGTAATTGAAGTTTATTAAGTGCAGTTGTTCTGCGGGAAGGAGCATGAGAAATGTTTGGGTACATAATACAGATTAGTTTATAATTAGTTTAAGATAAAAACACAAGAAAAGAGGGAATGTGGAAAATGGGAAAGTGTTCATATTTTGACTTTTTATAAGTAGCCAAAGGTTGTCTTTTAGAAAATAAAAAAATATTGACTGAGATCTGCTTAGTGATGCCCCACCATGATGTAAACTTCACTTTATAATTCCTGATTTGTAGGCAGAAAACACTACTATCAAGACACTGGCTCACCGAACCTCTGCCAAAAGCTGCGGTCTCGAAGGGCAACAACAAGCTTGATACATTGTATCCTCCTTCCTGCAGGAAGACAGATGATATCTCTGAGAAGATGAAGGGTTTGGGACTGGGTTATCTACTGCAGGGATCGCGATCAGAGCCCAACATCTTGCAGACTCTGGGAACAAACCCACTTACAGATATAATGGACATCAAACAGAATATATTCCAAAGTAATTGTTTTTCCAAGTGTCATATGTCTCAGGCCAGTTTTTTAGGTTTGAAAAATAGAAATCTTTCATTGCCATGAAATCGTACATTTTGTGGGTTTTACTCAGACATCAATTGTGAGTAACCACTCTTTATTATAATAAATTGAAATTACATTTTTCTCTTTGTTCAAATCTTCATAGTTTTGCTTTAAAAAAAAAAATAATATATGTCAGCTTTCTGCAGCAGTGGCAGAACTAACGTAGAGGGCACAGGTGCATAAATGATTTTGCCCCCCCCATCAAGGGGGGGGCCAAAAGGTAGCCCTCCATTTGTCGTACAACTCACACAATGCTTTCCCAGCTGGGGATCTATTGGCACATCCTTGCAGGGTTGTATTTCGCACTGAGCAGTGTTTGAACGTAAGCATGCTTTTGTATGGAATATGTGTGAATGAATGCACTGGTGTGTTTGTGTGTGGTGTTGGTTTTTAAATGCAGCTGTGAATTTGTGTGTAGTTTTGGTTTTTGAATGCAAGGGTGAGTTGATATTTAATGTTTGTGTTTTATACAGAGGTGTGTTTGTATGTAGTGTTGTCATTTGCATGCTGGGGGTGTTTGTGTGTAGTGTTGATGTTTAAAATTCATATATACACACACGCTGACACACATATAGATAGACATACAGATACAGACCCACACACTGACATACAGAGATGCATTCTGGTCCTCTGGTGTGGCTCAGTCTGTTATCTGGGAAGACGAGGGGCCTGGCAGCAGCACACAACGGGGCCTCTATAGTCACTTGCCACCCTGATGGACCCCCTAAATGTGCAATCCCTGTGAAGCCACGGTGGCCGCACAAGAGGTAGTTCCACCACTCTTCTGGCTGTGAAAGACTTGTGTCTGCTGCTCAGCTCGCACTGATTTCTCATAGACTGAGTTGTGTACACACATTGCATACTTCCAATCTGAAAGTCACGTTATGAGAATAGGAGGCATGACACAGGGGTCGAGTTTTGCTGCAGAAAGCTCCATTTTATTTATTTTTTTGTGTTTTAAATGGAAAAATCTAAATTAAAGAGATTTGAACAGACCAAAAAATACAGTATGAATAAGGTTATAATCTTTAAATGCACTTAAAGTGTGAGGAGAAGTCAGGTTGGTTACATTGTCCCCCTTATGAGGTTTGAGTTATATATCTGCAAATGGGGATAAGATTTAGAAAGTTCCCGAAAATTCCATTTGTCATTCCTGCCAGGTTGTTTTTCCCTGATGGATGTGCTAAGACTTTTTTTCCCCTTCTGTTTTAAAGGGCTAACGTCACCTGACACAGAAAGAACCAGAACCATGAAGGTAAGTCAATATATTCCATAACTGCTAGTGTTTTAGTGTAATATGATATGTTGGATCATTAGCATGTAGCTATAAAATAAGCCTGCAGGGAAAAGTACCAGATTATTGAACAGGCCCTTTCACTGAATTTTAAGGAATTAAGTCCAAATTTCAACACTGAGGCTAAAATAGTATTTTAGACAGATTACAGAGTTGGAGAATTTTTTTTCAAATAATCTGTTTTGCAATTAGGATCTTAACATACTCATTCCTGTTTTTAGGCTACATTAATTTATAGATATGAAGATCAGCAATAAACTATTGAAAATGTTTTTTGTGAATCAATTGAGTTCTCCAATATTTTTCTATTTCTGATAAATGGAAAGATGGAAATTGTGGAGGGCAGACATGGGCATTGCAAAATTTACACCAATGCAGTTAAAATAGAAACATTTTTAAACTTACTTAAAACTTTGAATTCCTGGTCCAATAAAAAAAAATCCCAGACATGTTAAAAATTGTCAGATGTTCTATTGACAGTAGAAAATTTACTTATTTTTAAACCAAATTTACATTTATTTCCTTTGGTGTTTTAGCGTCCTTCTCTGTGCCATTCTCCTTGCTGTGTCCGACTAAGTCCACTGCAAAAAAGCAGAGCAAAAACAATGGATGAAATTAAAGTCACCAACGCTGTGCCACCCTTTTTGAGAAGTTCTGAATCTTTTTTAGAATCCCCGGCACTCGAGTCGACCAGCTCTCACGGTGATTCTCGAAAATCGGCACAAGCATGCAATTCAGATGACATCATGTCTAAAGATCTCATTTACATCAGCATTGGAGAGAGTATGATTATCTCAGAAAGTTTGGAACATAATAAAGTCAATGGGGCTTCGATGAGTAGTAGATTATGTCAAATGTCTTTATCGGTGGATGAGAAATGCAACCAGTCACTCATTTCTGAAGGATATTTTATGGACACAATTGCTGGACCTGGGGAATCCACTGAAAAAGTGTTGACAAATGAAGATGAAATTATATGCAAAGAAATAGTCCTTGAGGAACAGATGGTTGATTCTTCTCATCTACCTATTTACAAAGAAAACAGAGCAGATGAAATATTTGATAATTACAAAACAAAACTTGATAGCCAACAAAGTGATTGGAAAGGTGTTTCGAAGGAGACAACAGAACCTGATTTTCTGAGAACACCAAGACAGGACCTTGTAAGTTTTGTGCATATTACCTTCTCTGAACCTGAATCTCCAAAAGAGCAGATGTCTTCTTCAGCTAAGCAATCTCAGAAAAAGAGAAGGTGGAACAGAAGTAGTGTGCCCCATAATGTTAACCACAGTTTTAACATACTTGCCCAAAAGGAGAATGAGAGAACAAAGAAAAATAAAAAGGCTAGAAATAAATCTGCGTCAGATGTCTTCTTGAAGAACCAGAGACCTCTTTCAAACAACAAGAAAACCAGCTTAAAGAATATATCTGTTTCTTCCATGGAATTTATGGCTAGTCCAACTAATTCCCCAAACTTTAGAAAAGCCCACCATCTAGAGAACATTAACTTGGACAAAAATAGCAAACGTTCTCACACGCATTTAGCACTCTATACACCAATTAAAGTATCAAAGCCATGTGTCACCAGAGCAAACACAGCCCCAGATTTTCAGAATATAAAGTATCCTGACATGTTTGTGCAAATGAATCCACAAAATGAAGGTCCGGGTATCTATCAAATGTTTGAGACATCATTTTACTCCAGTGGCAAAGAGTTGTCTGCAGAAGACGGTAATTTTTGTAGAGAGTCCACTTCATCAACTAGAAGCCTTGTGTCCAAAAGTGTTAGGTCTCTCAGTGCCAATGACAGCAAAACAAAGATACAGAAAAAAGCTCAATCCAGAAACAAGAAGAGTTCTTCTGCCTTAACTCAGAAGCGCAAAAGCTCTTTGACTAAAGAGAAGGCCGCGAAAGATGTTCTAAATAAAATTGAAGATAAGGTGGTGATAATTTCTGGAACAGATTGGCATATTGAAGCAATAAAACACAATGATTTTAATACAAATAATGATGCAATACCTACAGAGGATGGTCCACAAAATAAATATTCAGATTTATCCATAATTAAAGAGGCTACAATAGAAGGTTCGTTTAGTATAAATGGGAGCTCTCATGCACAATTTACTCAGATGGTTATCGAAATTAGTAAAGGTTTTGATGAAGAGATTGCCCAGCATGAGCATTCAAAACCTAAAGAGGTGCCCAAAGATGAAAGTGGTCAACAAGGAATAGTTCTGTCCAACGGAAGCCTTACAAAATACAATAAGAAAGGTCAAAATGATCAAATATTAAGAACTAAAGACTTACCCCAAAATGATGAAGACCTCATCGATATACATGATGAGAAACTGATTGATTTAATTAGACAGGTGTACACTGAAGTCCGAGAAGAAAATTCTTTTAACAAACTAAAAAACGCAAGCCACAATATCCACATGGAAAATACTCTAAAAGAAAATTTGATGGAAAATGAAGGTGACCCAGAACACACAATCACGGTTTCTGAAACTGATGATGTGGATATCGGCACTGATACAGAGAGTGAACAGACAGATGAACTTCTCTCACAACTAGCACAAAAAATGATATCCCTTGATGAAAAAGAGTCCAGCTTATACAGAACATTGACAAATGCACAGGTAGCATTTGAAACGTTAAGGTCCCATAGCCAAAATGCTGACCTTGAAGAAGAAATTTCAAGCGTGAAAGAGGTAAAATTTACTATCAACCCAAAACTAATAGAAATTATCCACCAAGATCACAGGGGCTACAAACTGGCAGAGAACGCATAAGAATGGTACACTTGTAGATGTAGTGGTTCTTTCATGTTTGTGTAGTAGACCACCTGTTCCAAGAAGTAACCATTTTGACATACAAACTTTTGCCCAAGTAAAGGAACACTATAGACACCCAGACCACTTCATCTCATTGGGTGCACTGCCCCTGTTCCCTTAACCCTGCAATGTAAACCATTACAGTTTTAGAGAAACTGCAGTGTTAAAACTGCTTCTAGTGGCTGTGCCCAGTGGCAGTTTGACTCTGCGAAACATCTATGAATGTCCTCACACTGAGGACATCCAGCGTCAAGCAAAATTTAATAGGAAAGCATTGCATCAAACCAGTCCTCAAGACCCACCAATAGTCCAAGTTTTATTATTATCTCCATTGGAATAAAAAAGGGAAATACATAAATCTGAGATTGTTGGTTGGTCATGAGGACTGGTTTGGGAACCACTTGATTAGAGGGTCAGAGCTTCAGTGAACTTAATGGTGGCAGCAATCTGGTGTTTCCCTTCTAGCTGTAACATTTTGGGTCTGCTTTATTGCATTCTTAGGTTACCCAGCTTTAGTATACTGCTTTAAACCCTGGTGGTAGCAGCTTGTTTATATCAATTTAATTGCATTTTCAGATGCCTTATGGCATCTACACACAAAAGTACACCCTGCGTTCAAATCCCTACTACTGCTCAGCTGCAGCAATGGCTATAATGGAAATAGCCCAAGTGCATAAACAAAACAAAAAGGGTATTTTTATGAACTCCTACAAACTAACTGAACAGGGCACACACACGGGGCGCAGCACTGTCATATGGCTGTATAGTACGAAATCAAATAAAAACACTATATAAACTCTGCGTAGGGTTTAATTACAGTCAGAGCTGCACCAGTTACTGCAGACTTGAAACTGGAACCTAACACACAGAAATTTCTTAACATACCCAGCCAAGTCCAGTGCTGGAACTATGAATAGAGGTTGGGTTCATTGGCAGTTCGGCACTCCGCTTTGCCAAGGCCATGTTTCTCACGCTCAGGCCTTTAATGAATAACATGTTAGTTAATCCAGGCACTGCAAAGTTCTACCATTGTAGGCCTTCTGTGCATTTCAATAAATGTAAAGATCAGTAGTGCAAAGAAAACCTGATATATTAGATACTGACATCGCTTGACAGATTTTTAAAGTGTTTAATTTAGCTGCCGGAGGAAAAAAAGCTCAGCAGTTATCCACAGTAATAAACTCTTACAGCAGAAAATTAATTATTTTCTAACTGAGCCATCAGAAATTAGCTGTAGTACTTCCTAATGCAATGTTAGCTTTACTTTGTGCTAATTACATTACAATCAAATGCATAAGTAAAAATGTCTTGCCGAAAGTTTAATTTCTATCTGTAGTCCCTAAGCCTTTTAGGGTCAATTTATGGGACCAATTCTGGGCTAACCTAGACACGTGGTATACAGTGCTGGGTGATTAAACGGTCATTCTACTGGAGTGAGTCAAGTTTGCAGTAAATATTGGCCTCTGCCTAGAGACACAGGGCACAGCCATTAATTTACTGTGCTCCTAAATAAAGTCTCTTCCAATCCAAGTGCATCAATGTGAGTGAACAGTAAACACTTTGTAAATATGAGTAAAGCTGATAGAGAGATACTCTAAGCACCAAAACAACATTAGTTTAACAAAGCAGCTTTAGTATATAGGTCATGATCGTGTAGTGTTACTGCCATTTAAGAGTTTAATCACTGCAATTTTGGTGTACACAGAGCTAGCCACACCTCCCCTGGCTGTGAGTCACACAGCTTGCATGTTAAAATGGTTTTATTTTCAATCATATCTGACAGCACAGTGTGTTTAAACATTTTTATCTTCTTCTCGGTAAATTTATTTTAATCACAGGAGGCTCCTCTACAAGCTTCTAACTTAAACAGACTGTGCTATAATGCAAGATTCCACTCAATGGTAAAAACTCTTGCTATTGTTTAATTGTAAAGCTGCTGAATAGACTACATAGAAAGGGTTTTACCTCTTACCATGGAAGCAGCTTGTAAATTCATACCCTCCTACAATTCAGGGTAAGGTTGCATTTTGCTTTGTGATGTCAAACAGCATTTTGACAAGGGCTTAAATAGGGCAGTCAAATCGCAAAATCACAATCGCAATGAAGTAACTTTGGGACATAGATGCTTTCCCTGCATTGTGAGAGATGACAATAGTGACAGTTTTTTTACACTATTAGGGAGTTCTGAATAAAATACATTCAATAATTGATGCCAGTTTACAACTGGAGTCTCTCAACCTTTTTATTGTTGTAGCCCCCTATTAAATTATTTGGGGGCACAGTGTAATGCTGGGAAACTCTGCATATTAACTGTGTCACCTACATAGGAGGAAGGAATCCAGGTTTCCCATCACTGGACACCAGGGATTGCTGTAAATCCCGTGAGGAGTTGGTCTTGACTTTGGCATGTTGATTATGACTTTAGAGTTTACTTTATTTTTTTCAAACGATGACCCCAAAACGTAAATGGATAAAGGAACAAAAGAAAAACTATTCCTATAAAGACAATATGGATACTTTGGTGTGAATAATTGTAACATGCTGGGCATTTGAGCACACTCTCAGTTTTCACAATCTTTGTTTTGCCATTCTTCTAAAACATTCAATGATAAATCATAAATGGATATTAAAAATAAACAGAGGCAATCAGTTCATCCCCTTTATTATGAAGATTAATTTGCCATTGCTGAAATTGAGGATAGAGCAGAATTAATCTGGGATAGCAGTCGTCATAGATAATATCAAGTGCAGTATTCAGTCATACAGAGGCACAGAAAATCATATCCTGAGAATCAAATGCGTCTATTAGTCCGTTACCCTATAAACAAACAGTGCAACAAACATTCTAATAGAACAATTTGACAATCCTCATTTTAAAAGAAAATTCACGGAGGGGATGGCAACTTTTATTTTTTGAATATTTACTTTTATGAAAAGCCTACTTGCCATGAGGAAACTGCCTCCCGTTAATTTAAGAATAGGTTTGAACGCCAGTCAACAGCATTGTCAATGTGCATATTTGAAACTGTAAGAATCTTAAACCAGCCAGTATGGAGTGGGCAGAGATTTTGCTTTTAAAGCAGACTACATGTAACTTATTTGTGATTTACATACATGAGACCTTTTCTTTGTAACATCACAAACAAGCTAAACGCAAGGGAGATTTTTAGCAGTTTTAGCAGTGATCTCCAAGTTTATAAATACTGCTTTAAAAGCCAACAGTATCTCAACAAAGCTGACATGTTTTTGATAAATTAGTTACAAATTACTACATCTAATATTTTGAAGGGAGTATAATTTCCAAGTCAAGGCAGTCTAAATTAAGTGGAAGAAACAAAAATGATAGAATTTTTTTATCTTTCATTAACAGAATTGCATAGAATTTCACTTTGAATATTGAAAGAAATACATAAAAAATAAATAAATATAAACTTTTTCTTCAACTGTTTCATCAGTTTATAAAAGGCAAATTAAAAATAGATTCAGATAGCATTTTTCAAATAGACCACAGATTCATCCTCGTCTATAGGTATGGCAGCTATTTTCCATCCTAAAATACAGTCCTGGACAGATCATCAGAATAAAATGCTAAATTTCTTCAATACAAATCATCCCATGATGCAGGTTTTCTCTTTGGTTACGCCAAACCTAAGAAGCAAAAACAAATTATTAAACTAATAATAATGTTAATTTTCTCTCTCCCCCTCCCATTTACAGTGCAACAAAAAAGAATGTCTAAACTCTAACACCAACAATTTAAACCCTACTGAAGATACTGGTGAGTTCAGCCAGCATATCGATGGAATAACTTGGATCAAGGGAGAAGTGTTGGGCAAAGGAGCATATGGAACGGTAATCATTTCATACACAATATTACTGGATCAGTGATAACCACAAATTACCAGTTATAGTGAAGATTGGGTGACAATCTGCCTCTCGAACATATCAAGTGAGGTTCATGATTGGTTGGTCCTCTTCCTAAGGCATTTTAATTTTGTAACATTAAGGCATCATTCATATCAGTGTTGCAGGTAAGAAAGAAAAATAAGCCACCAATGAAAGGGGCAGTTACGTGGATTGTTTAGGGCAAGATGTAACTTTTCATTGTAATACAAAATGAAAGTTAGTTTGTGTATACATGTTTGGAAGGAGAGTTGAATCTCACATTGTGCAGGACTGCCTAGGAGCAGTAACCTCCCCAATCTACCAGTGACCGATCCTTCATTACAGCAGTGGTGGCTGGTGACATTGAAAGATGGTGAGGGAACCACTATGATGGGCAATGCCCACCTAACTCCCGTGTACTCAACTCCAGGTCCATGTCATGCCCTGTTCAATATCATAGACCGACAGCCTGGCAGCAGCATCACTATCCATAGATAAATGGGGGGGGGATAAAAACGGCAGTTAGCACACACTTATCGTTACAATAAGATTTGATTGTTCTTGCAAAAATAAGGGAGGGGGAGGGGGAAGCACCCCCATCTACCCTAATGGACCAGCCTCCACTAAGTTAAAGTACTCTAAAGAGCTGGTGTTCCTAGGCATTAACCAGGGTAAATAATGACTTTGTATTAGAATTTTGGGAAAATTGGTCATAAATGGGCTCTACCATATGGATTAAGATGTGGTGACTAATTTTAATACCTGTCTACTTCTTTAAAGGTATATTGCGGTCTGACTAGTCAAGGAGAATTAATAGCTGCCAAACAAGTTGTTTTAGATGCATCGGACCCTGTAACTGCTGAGAAGGAATATAAAAAACTCCAGGAGGAAGTGGAACTCCTGAAAACGCTAAAACACGCAAACATTGTTGGATATTTGGGGACTTGTCTACAAGACAACATAGTGACTATTTTCATGGAGTTCGTACCTGGAGGCTCAATATCTAGCATACTGAAACGATTTGGGCCGTTACATGAAATTGTAATTAGTAGATATACGAAGCACATCTTGCAAGGTATTGCCTATCTTCACAAAAATAGGGTCATACACAGAGACATTAAGGGAAATAATGTCATGCTAATGCCAGATGGTGTTCTAAAACTCATTGATTTTGGATGTGCAAAACGCCTGACTCGTTTGAGTATGAGTGGGACTCGAAGCGAGGTGTTAATATCTATGCATGGAACACCTTTCTGGATGGCTCCAGAAGTAATCAACGAATCTGGACATGGAGAGAAATCCGATATTTGGAGTATTGGCTGCACAGTGTTTGAAATGGCAACAGGAAAACCACCCCTGGCTCACATGCACAAGATGGCTGCAATGTATTACATAGGAGCAAATAAAGGACTCATGCCTACTTTACCAGACCATTTTTCAAGAAGGGCAAGAGACTTTGTAGATTTATGCTTAACTAGGTAAGTTTTTATATGCAGAACACACACACAAATGTTTATGAAGTCAAAAATATAGTGGAAAAATAAGCTGGTATCTGAACATTAAAAGGATACTTCCATCCCAAATAAAATAAAGCTTGCTGCAGATCTCATTTGACGCCTTAGCAAGTCCAATCACAGACTTCCCAATGCAGATCAATGAGAAGTCTTTGCCAGGCAGATGCTCTGGGCAATTGCCGAATCTAGAGTTTAGCTCCATAGAGCCAACAAGACAGGGTGTCTGACTTTTTTTTAATGGGATGGGGAGGGGGAGTTACAACGATTTATAAAAGTGTCAATTTCTGTTGAAATGTGCATTGTCTGTATATATTACATAGTTAATTACATAGCTGAAAAGAAACTTGCGTCCATCAAGTTCAGCCTTCCTCACATATGTTTTTGCTGTTGATCCAAAAGAAGGCAAAAAACCTAGTCTGAAGCACTTCCAATTTGCAACAAACTAGGAAAAAGTTCCTTCTTGACCCCAAAATAGTCAGATGTCTCCTTGGATCAAGCAGCTATTACCCCACTAATTGGAAATTATATCCCTGTATGTTATGTTTTCGCAAGTATTGATCCAATTGCAGTTTAAACATCTGTAATGACTGACAAAATCACCTCTTCAGGCAGAGAATTCCATATCCTTATTGCTCTTACTGTAAAAAAAAAAAAAAACTTCTTTCCCTTAGATGAAATCTCCTTTCTTCCAGCCTAAATGTGTGACCTTGTGTCCTATGTATAGGCCTGTTTATGAATAGATTTCCCGATAAAAGGTTTGTACTGGCCCCGAATATATTTGTATAATGTTATCATATCCCTTCTCAGGCGCTGTTTTTCCAAACTAAACAGATTTCATTTTTTTAACCTTTCTTCATAACTAAAATGCTCCATTCCTTTTATCAATTTTGTAGCTCGTCTCTGCACTTTTTCTAGTACCATGATATCTTTCTTTATAACAGGTGCCCAAAATTGCACAGCATATTCAAGGTGTAGTCTTACCAGCGATTTATAAAGAGGCACAATTATATTTTCATCCTGAGAATTTATGCCCCTATTTATACATGACAAAACCTTACTAGCCTTAGCAACTGCAGATTGACATTGCATATTGCTGCCTAATTTATCTATAACAATTCCCAAATCCTTCATGTGTGGTTATCCCTAGTTCACTACCATTTAGGGTGTAAATTGCTTGTGCATTCTTAACCCCGAAGTGCATAACTTTGCATTTCTCTGCGTTAAATTTCATCTGCCATTTTAGTGCCAGCTTAAAAAAAAAAAAATAAATAAAAAAATAGAACCCACTTTAAACCACAAAGGCACGGTCACCCCCCTGAAAAGTTTGTATTTTATAAAATACTCATATTGACTGTGTTGGAATTTCACTGAAAGATGCCCTGCCTGCATCTCATAAGTACAGAGAGAAAAAGATGTTTATCAAATAGTGTAAGTACTTACACGTTGCTACCGAGGTGAAAGGTCAACATGTGGCTGAGGTTCCAACAGTGCAGGTGAACCTAGAGACAGAAGAAATAAAGGTTTATAGAAGCAGTATTTAGCTAGGTCTCCAGATTAGTTTTTATAAATCACATTTGTGATGTGCATTTTAGGAAAATTATAGTCTGTCCATATCTAAGACTATAAAACTTCCTCCGTCCGCTCAAGCTCCCTGATTCTGCCTAATCTCCTCGTCACTATGTCACTACACTACTTCTCTTGGAATGATAATCAATTCTGCCTCCAACAAACGCCTCAATTTGTTATTGTTGAATAAGTTTTCCAAATTATTGAGTTTTTTTTAAATAAACTTTAAAAAATATTTGTTCAACATTAAAATAGCAAAAAATATATTTTAAAATGCATTTATTTTTCATAATATTTAATTTTAAAATAAGTATCCAAAAATACGATATGGAAAACCCAACAATTTTAAAAATCAAGGCAGCAGTCTTAGGTCCCCTCAAATTCTCTACTTTACAACTGATAAAAGGACAAGGAATAGGGGGAATGGGGGGAACATATTGGAGGCATACATGGGGTGGGATTTACCACACAAAAAATGAAAAAATCATTGAGAAAGATCATGAAGAGGGACAAAATCTTGCAGGAGGGACAGTGTAACAAGTGGGTTTTGGAGCAAGTATGGAGTTCATGGAAAATGATTAGAAGGTTCAAAAGGACTGTATGATAGACAGTAAAGAGGTCTGGAATCTGTACCCATCAAGTTTGTAAGTTAAATATGCATCATATCAATACCACAACACAACACAGGAAAGAGATAAAAATGGTTTACAACTGGAAAATGAGTTGGGAAAAAGAAAGATTAAAAACATGTACAGGTCTAACATTATGAACAGTCATTTGTCATCATGAGTTACATTACTGCAAAACCATGCCAATTGCAGTGCAAGCCAGCTGTTTTAAGAGAATCTACAATCATATCAGATAAGTAGACAAGTTCACTTGTATGGTTCGTCCACAAATTTAGTTGAGAGAAAGTCACTAATATCTAGACTTTGTAGTACAGATGTTTGTAAATTACATTTCCCAACATATTTAGCCAACCTTTCTACTAACTTCCTCCAACAGAGCACAAAATTAACGTTACACACTATGGCACAGAGGATCTTAATGGCAAGAATTAAGTACAGATTTTTTTGCAGAAGGTTCATCTTGGCACTACCAAGATTTAATTAAAAACCTCTAACTTTACCAACGCAGTCAAAAGTGCTACTCGTATGTATTAAGTCCTACACGATAATGTTGAAAAAGAATGTTTTACCAACAGTGAGTGTTACTAACCTGCCTTTGCAAATTTGAATAAAACAAAAACCTCATGTAAAGTGTGCTTTAAGGGACAACTGTCACATATTAACATATTTTTGAAACGCTTATTACATTAAATGTAACAATGATATTTTAAAATTATGTATAGTGATTTGTGAAAATTTAACTTTTCTTCTGATTGAGCAGCCGTTGGGTCAGACTATTAGCTACCAACTGCTGCTCAAACTAACTTACCTGCTGCTATGATTGTTCTGTGTGAAACTGCAGCAGCAGGAAAGCTAGGTTGAGCAGCAGTTGGTCGGGTGACAGTGGAGTCTGGGGCAATCAATATACATAAATATATCAAATATATCAATAAATGTAATAAACTAAACCAAAAAAAAAAAAAAAAGTGAACATTTGATGACAGTTGTCCTTTAAGCTTAATAGTATTTTGGATCAACTTTGCCTATAATTACTAATTCCGCAACATAATTACCTTAATTTTCATTTAAGTGAATTTTTTTTAGTTTAGTCACTGAAGTGCTGCATTGTCATCCTTAGTGCTGCCATTTTGTGGTATGGCCATGTTTAGTGCTTCCATTTTTGTGGCATGGTCATGTTTAGTGCTGCCATTTTGTGGCATGGCCATGTTTAGTGCTGCCATTTTATGGCATGGACAAGAAAGGGTTTTGAAAGGTAATTAACCTTAAATCTATTCTGATCCAAAAGCCCAACCATTATGATTGAACTTGCATAACTAAGAAGGCAATTTTGGATGCATCTGAATCATTGCACTATAATAGGCTATGGTAATAGACGGCAGAATATTTTTGGAGTTTACAGTGTTACACAGGTGTTAATTAGAATTCTGCAACTAAGCTCATTATAAACTGCATTCCGGTCAGTGTTCTCGGTGATTAACTTGATACCTTATACAACACAAGAAGGGTTCTACAGAACTCAACTTAATGGTACCAATTTATTCAACCTAACCTGAGAATGTTTTAATGTTAATTGTATTTTTTCACAAATGTAAAAGTAAGAACACGGTGTCTTCATTTTTCTTTATCCTGGCGATAATGACTAATGCTTGCAGCACTGCAGTGCCAAACATTTCCAAATTATTTATGTCTGCGCACACACACATTACCCAGGATTCTCAAAGGTTCCTGGACCATGTGGGCAGGAAACTATGGGATATCTAAACTGTATTATATTTAACCAGAATAGCCATGACCAACACTAACCCAAGTTTATTGGGGGTGTATTGGGGATAGAGTTTTTAAAAAACAAAACAATTAAACTGTGGCATTCACAACTCCTACTGACAATTCACATGAATAAAATGTAAGCCTGGAAGTAGCCCAGGTGTATATAAAATAAATAAATAATTCTAAATAAGTACACAAAACATAAGAACCAAAAAATGGATAAAATCCAGTTATCAATTTAAGGATGAATATAGGTATAGTGCTCCAACAAAAATAACTTGTTTAAGTGAGTGATTATTAATATGTTTGGAAAACCAAACACGACAGGAACCAACTATTGAAAACATTTGTCTACTAAACATTATTGGACATTGTACTGCAATGCAAAAAGGATAAACAAGATAGATATTAAAAGCTTTTTGATTTATAGGTTAACAATGTCTATGGTAGTGTGTTAAAATTTACGTTATGTCAAAATATTACCATTGTTTTATACATTAACAACAATTTCATTATAACATGAATGCCTTGGAAAATTGCCTCAACATATTAGAGATTTTGTTAACAGGAAGACATTCAGGAGTTCCCAGAAATAAAATACTTTTATAGATTATAAAATAAACAATGCATATGCCCAGATTTAATATTCGTATCAATACTTAAAATATCTGTATCCCCTGCTCTTTCTAGTATCTGTAGAACATGGATAATGTTATAAAAAAAAAAAATATACAAGGACTATTCACTAAACGCCAAAAGAGTTTGAGAAATTTCATTTTTAAAATGTTATTCACCAATGTGAAACCTGACCAGGAAATTGGTCATGTAAGGGCACAAAAGCCAAGTTAGTAAAAAAGCGATTAATCTTTTTTCCCAGTTATAGCATTTTGGCCTAACTTTTGCGGTTCCCATTTTAGCGAATAACCTAGACTTTGTAATCACAAAACAAATGGCAACTAATCTTTTTTATTCCTAAACAGTTTGAACCGTGGCAGGCAAGAGGTATATTGAACTTGAAGCCATCTTACGAATTTCATAGGGTGTATAATCTCCACCAATATGTTATAGAAATCATAGACAACTCAGGCAAAGTGTATTTGTTTGGGAGGCTACACACCATAAATGTCTCAAAAGCTTGCAAAACACCAAGTATTCACATACATTTCCACAACGAATAGTAATTGTTTGCTCCAATCCACAGGGACCAAGACGAGCGTCCGTCTGCGGAAAAGCTTCTGCAACACTCGTTTATCAAGAGGAGATAAGTTAAAAGGACTACTCGTGCCAAAATTATCTTTTCAGACCAAACAAAACAAAAAAGAAAAAACATCTTTTCCAGGAACAAAATTTAGATTCACCATCACATTATATCATTCTAATCTTATATTATACAATTGTAGATTGTACAATAAACTTTTTAATAAAGTGGTAATACATATATTTGTAAATCAGATCTCTGTGATTCCCCCTGGTGGGACAATAAGATTGTGAAATTGGTGTTCTTTCTTGCATAATGAAGGCAATATACTTCCATAATGGCTATAAGAATAGCCCTCATGAAATGCTCAACTTAAAGGGCCACCATAGGCACCCAGACCATTTCAGCTTAATGAAGTGGTCTGGGTGCCAGGTCCCCCTAGTTTTAACCCTGCAGCTGAAGACAGCAGTTTCAGAGAAACGGCTATATTTACATTGAGGGTTAATCCAGCCTCCAGTGGCTGTCTCCCAGACAGCCACTAGAGGCCGCTTCCGCAATTTACACTGAGTATATTGCACTTATCTGACGCTTGTTGTCCTCACGGAGTCCAGTGTCAAATAAGATCCCCATAGGAAAGCATTGAGTAATGCTTTCCTATGGCCGTGTTTGAATGCGCACACCTCTGGCCACGCATGTGCATTCGGCTCCACTCGGCAGCTGACGGCGGGGGGAGGAGAGATCTCCAGCGGCGAGGGAGCCCGGCGCTGGATTAAGATAAGAGGCTAAAGGGGTTTTAACTCCTTCAGCGCAAAGGGAGGGGACTCTCCAAAAGTTTATAGTGCCAGGAAAAAGGATTTGTTTTCCTGGCACTATACGATCCCTCAAAGGGGGGCACATTCATGGCACCAAGATTCTCCAAGCACCATAACAACCTATGATTTTTTTTTTACATATGTTATAATGCAAAATGTTTCCCAGTCCCGGTCTTATTGCACATAATACTTATAGCTGCATTGGTTTGAAGTTACACAGCTAGAAGACTAGACTTCTTACTGATAGGCATCACATTAAGCTAAAGTCATTTTCCTGTAGGATGTGTGCATACTAAAAAGTCCTACATCAAAAGTTCCTTAAGAGGATTTTGTGAAGGAGCCAGAACAGAGAATGGACATATATGTGGTGGTAGGTTACTGTAGCCCACTCACAAAATTGTGATTAGAGTGGTCAGTAAGCCGATAGCAGCACAAGTATAAATGCTACTGACTTAAGATGCAGTTCTGATCATTTTTATCTGAAGAACAGAATTGTTGAACTACATGCCCCATAAATTCCTGACGGGCAACAGTTGATCAAATAAAGAATAGCTCTGTTGAAAACAATGGGTGCATCAGGACTGGCTACGTCACTGGTTTGGTGACCATCTGCTGGAGATCTGCATTTTACTGAAGCAATTTTAATTTGCATTTTTAATGTGTTACAGCATCTAAATGCATTAAAAAAAAGTCAAATGTTCCTTTAACCTGGAATCCCTACTCAATCCATTTATTATTCCCTCCTTGATATGCACTAGCAGGAGAAGCTGGGGTAAACAGAAACAAAAGCACAAGACAAGGTACTGCATAGGAATAATTCCTGGCATTAAATAAGTTATAACTATCCTTTAAATACAACAAAAATAAAAAAAATACACGGTATTTGAAATGTTCAAACTGCCACACCAAGGCAAACAACGCTCGCTCCCCCCCCCCCCACGCAGCTGTGAAGGAATTTCAGCCAAATATAGAGAACAGTGAACACACTATTATATTAAAAGGGGAATACCTCCACCAGGGTGCTCCAGACAGAGAGGGCAAGTTCCCAAAAATGTCCAGTAGAAGTAAATGTCAAAAGGAGAACAATGTTTGGGCTCCTACATGAGCCTTTGTCAGGACTTTACAAAGACTCGCAAAATTAGCCAAAATATTGTTTTGGCTTCGGTGTTCCAAATAAAGACTGCCTTTAGAAGAAACCATCATGCAAATGAATTTAAGGTCAGAGATATCAAAGGAACACAGAATCCAGGAGTGAGGATTTACAATGTATTTTATTGGATACTAGAGTAAATAATTGCTAACGTTTTGTCCAGTTACTCACTTGAAGACAAATAATAGTATTAACACGTCTTAAAAATGACAGGGTCCAAGCAGGCAAGGAATATATAGGTAATATAAAATTGTACCTTACAGGCAATACCAAGTAATCTGTGGATTAGATTTTTAGTTTACATTTTAAAGATACCATTTAGATAGGGTTAACAGATCCACCAGGTTTTCAGGGACACATAAATTTGTCATATTTATGAAAATATAAGGGTTTCCCCTGCAGTGTGTATAATACATATTCTGGAGGATTTTTCATTGCCTAATTACTTAAACACCTTCAGTATTCCACATACTACAGGGCAACCCTTTTCATGTGCTGTCCATCAATATATCTATACATATGTGGCTCAGGGAAATAAACAAGGCAGACCTGGTCATCCTACCTGTAGATGTCCCACCCTCAACACCCATCAACAGAAATGTGTGTCCAGAAAGATTACAGTAGTCGTACATTTCTCAAACATTGAAGAGAAATTTGTAGTAGCACAAAGTGGGGATGACAAAGATGTGGAGCAATAACTAATGTAATATAACGGCTGACTCCGTTGGTTTCCATGGTGATCTAACACTTATGGAGCTATACACCACTCCATAGTGGTCCGATAACTTTCACAAACCTCCCCCTTTGTCTGGCACTGAAAAAGCAGCCACCACCCAAAAAAGATGTAAAACATTTTTTATACCAGACTAATGGTTATTAGGTGCATTACAGATGCATGTTACATCCAATGTATTACAATTTATATTTTGCATTAATATTTCACAGCGCAGAAAGCTTAAAAAAAAAAAAACATGTGAGAATAGAGTGAAAATCGCCCAAGAGCGCCTATAAAATAGTTTTAAATACACCCCACAATTTTAGTGGTTATGGTGGCAGGAATTCCTCTAGTATGGCAAAGGTGCCCCAACCCAACACTTTAAAATGGTTTGACTCCTTGCCTTCATTACAACCAACACAGTGCCATAAGCTCTATGAGCCAAGACCAACAGTGCAGGGCTTTGCCCATTGCCTGAAAGCAGATCACTTTCAGCACTTGAGATTGCACTGCACAGCTCAGGAGAGCTTCAGAGTTTTGGATGTAGAGGCGGCAGGGAATGGAGCCAGGCATACCCGGAGGTAAATAATCAAACTTTCTAAAATGGTTTGACTATTTACAGTGGGGGACACCATAACAAAAAAACAGAACACTGCAGTGGTTATGGTGTTTCAAAGCGTTCCTTCAACACTTTGTACAGACCACGCTTCCAGTGTTAATTTTGTCGACTAAAACCAAAAACAATTCAGATTACTAAAATAAGACAAACTAAAATTGCATTTTAGTCAAAAGACTGACTAAAACTAAATTGAAATTTAGTTTCAGTTATAGTCTGCCAAAATTAACACTGAACATAGAGGCTGTGGTAGGGGCAAAAGAGATAGACCAGGTCTTAGGAGAGAGACACAGAGCCTGGGGAAAGGGCAAAAAGAGCTTTGTGTACACTAAAATCTCCAGTAGATTTAGTCGACTAGAATCTACTGGTAATTTAGTCGCCTAAAACAATTAAGATGACTAAAATAGCTTATTAGTCAAAAGACTGACTAAAGCTAAATTGAAATTGGAGGCCAAAATTAACACTGCATGCTTCAACATTCTAATTTACTGACCTCTGATGTCAAAATTGCACATCCTTGTTTTTGTTTATTAACAAGGGTGATGAATTCCGTTACATTTATAAACTACGCATACACAAACTGAACAAGAACAGCCACTTCATCTCCGGCAAACCAGAAAAAGATTTAGTTAATATTGTTGGGAATGCAGAGTGCATTAAAAGGGAATTTCTAACTATAGAACAAAAAAGAGTCAGACAAATTCATAAAATCGGGCTTCGCTTTCAGGTTAGGCTATTTTGGCCTAAAAGCGTTTCAAAGGATAGGATATAACAATGTTTCATAGGATAGGATATAACAATGTTTGACAGAGAGCCAAGATGGAGGCACCCAGTTGTAACAAGAACTTGAGATGTAGTCAGAAATGTTTCAGAAAAAGCTTTGACAGACTAAAAGGGTCCTGATTAAAAAAAATTCAAAATTCAAAAACAGCAGACAAACCCGTAACTTGCAGAGTTTTTGCATTTTGTGCAAAACCCCTCACAGGTGACAAGACCACTGGATCTGGATCCTGTAGAATGGGTGAAATCCACTTACCTGTGGATCCTCACTCTCTACACTGCCCTACTTCCACTACTGACTATACTCATTTACTGTTCCTTACAAAGACTGCAGGTAAAGAGTTTCACCATATGAGTTGAACCACCCCCCAAATTGTCAAACAAAACCACAAGCAGAACATTTATGAGTTTATTTAGCCTTCCATGAATAAGTCCTGCTATACAGAGCGCTTAAGAGTGGCTACACATTTTAACTTAAAACCTAGCTTTTTGCTGTAACTTGCGTACTAGTGAATATAAGAAGTTGACATTAAAAAAACCAACAGATTCCGAGGCTAGAAATTTGAGTTGTATTCTTATATTAGAGCTGTAAAAACTGACTTTCTTTACAGACTACACCACGTAGTTTTGCAAGCATTTACCAAAATCTTACAAAGCATTTTAATTCATAACTATTCATCACAAATATATGTTTTAGGACAATCTTGCCTATTAAAATTAAAACAGTCTATGACTTGCTCTGCCTTCCAGTAGTTTTGAGTCATGTTGTGGTATCTGGATTAGTGTATGTGTACTCAAATGGCACAAAATTGTGGTAAACAAAATATGGGGGAAGAGGTCTTTATTTGCACAAAAAGAGGCTTATGATGCATGAAACCAATAAATGCTATTCGATTTCACTTTTTCGCAAGCACACAACCACTCCAACAAAGTTCATTAACTAGGAAGGAAACCCCCACTAGTTAGACATTACATAAGTTAGAGTGATAAGGCACATACTTCAAGGATGTGCAGTTATCAAGAATATATACAATTCGAATAACTGCGCCCTTTTACAGTGTAAATTAGAAATCTGATGCTCCTACTCCACGATGTATGGTAAATCCACGTATTTAGAATGAATAGCAAAATAAGCACTAGTATTTGCCAAGAAAGTCTTTGGGGAAAAAAAAATAAAAAAATTCGAAAACAAAAACCACAGAAATAAAACCGATTCGGTCATAACAATTGTATTAGAATTCTCAAAACATATTATACATGATAAAAAAGAGAAAGAAAAATAAGGCTTTCAAAAAAGGGAAACAAAAAAAAGGGTGCATATATACATAATATATACACAAACATACATATACACATACATTCTTTCACATGTCCAGACATTTTGCAGGATTACAGATTGCATTCAATGACTTGACTGTGCTATAGCATCACCATAAAAAAAAAAAAAAAAGACTTACGGTAGTGCATAGAGAACTTTCAATACAAAGTAAATGAATAAAAAATATACCCTTTATTTTTCTGTCTAATGTCAGCATTGATTACATTTACAGTAAATACGATCAGACATTACTGTGAATATGCATGAGAGGTTCAGGATGCAATAAAAGATTTTAATATAAAATGCTACAGTCATGTAAAACAGAAGACTGCACATACTATGTACACGCAATATGACACGAGCAGACAGAGTTAAAATGTATGGGGAGTGGTTTTAATTGGACTTTTCACAGAGCATCTGAGGGAAAAAAAAGTAACCTTGAATTTCAAAAACCTAAATTCACAAGTTCAATGCATATTATTGATAACCATTTTATTGTCGTAATAAAACGAATAGACAGCAGACTAACAGATTAACCCTTCTTATGAAGACTGTATTTTACTTTGATTTAAAGAAAAAAAAAAAAACAACAGGAAGAGACAAGTACACCCTCTTAGAATTCAGAGATATTCTGAAATACTAAGAAACGGTGATGCCCGTAAGCTAATAAAAATAACTTCTGGAATATATATATTATATATATTTAAAAAAAACACGGACTTACTAAATAGCTCCACTCACTATGCAAGTTTTTTTTCTATACAAAGTTTTAAGTTTTAAATTACATTAATCTACATTACCATTATTTAGTAGCAACTTTGTGTCTATATTTACTGCATCAAGCTAATAAACACTTAAATGCACTTCACAGCAAGAGAGTATGTAAACTTTATTTTGAACTTCTCCTTTCCTTCACAACCCTATGGATTGACCACGAGCCAAATGCTAGTCACAATGGTGTTCGAGGCACTGATTCCTCCGCTGCATTCCCGGTGATGAAGAGGTGGCTTCATGGCTTTTAAAATGTCCTCTGTAGTGGATTCCTGTTCAGCAGATCCCATTAAGGCCTACAGTTTTAATTGTTCCATTGTTACAAAGGCTGGCAACCATTCTTTGTACGCCAATGTAGCACTGAAACTGCTTTGTGAGACATGACAAAGCCATCCTAGGTTTAGTATTATGATGGGCTTTGACGAGAAAATATAGTTAATCTGTGTTATGTTATACAAGCAGCTCCAAACCTGAGTATTGTATGGTTACATCTAAACATACAAAAACGTATGTAAATATGGTTTCTCCACTTGTAAACAGTTTGTTTACCATTTTCATCCCTTTACCGATGAGGACATGCATAACATACATACGCTTTAAATATATAAAACAGAACAAAAAATATTTTACACTCACCCCAAAATGCCAAGCAACAGAAAACGATGGCTGAACTACTCTGAAGTATAAATAAGCAATTATTGAAGCATTCTACAGGGTTAGAAACAGCCACCCATTCTTATTCTCTTAGAACCATAGAAATACTGAGTTTTTGCACCTTTCATGCAATTACAGTATTAATAATACTATATGTGGAGATAGACATTTGACTATAACCTCTTTTCAGATTGAGGGGTAAAAGCAGCACTTAGAATATATGTATTGAAATTGTGGCAACAGACGTCACCCATGTTAAAGAATGTTTTTCCATACTAAAGATTGTTTAAATAAAAAACAATTTATATTCAAAAACAATTAGGAACAGCAGCAAAAAAAAAAAAAAAGGGGGGGGGGGGGGGGAGGGAAAAAAAATAAACCCAATATACAATAAAGAATCACGTGTTCATTTCTGGGGCACTTAACAGCGAATCCAGAATGTCGAATGTATCTGTGTAGTTCGTATGCTGGCTCCTTGCATTATACTCGTGAACGTGTTCAGGGCTGTTCTCCACTGGCATCGTGTCCAGGTTCACGAGGGTGCTGATATGCCCGTAGCCCACCTGGTATGTGACAGGGGGAGGAGGGGGTAAGGGTTGGTTAAGAACAGCGTTGTGAGAGGATACAAACTGCTTAGAAGAGGAAGAACTAGTAGAACTACCTGAAGTTTTGGAACTTTTGCTCATTTTCGAGTGGTGGTTGTAAGAGGCATCATTGGGATGCGGCCTCTTTCTGGAAGAGCTGGAGTTCGAGGTACCACCATCGTTAGACAGGCCAATTGGACTCCTCAAAACAGTCGTTGACATTCCATCTGTGTAAAGTCTATTGCTATTGATGCTGCTTCCACTTCCATGGCTATGGGAATGCTTGTGGCTGCTGCTATGGTGTCTGTTGAAAGAATGTTCCTTGTGCTTCTCTTTATGTTCTTTGCTCAGATGTGGACTCGAGTGTTTGCTTTTGCCACTGCCCTCATCAGATGAGCTGTGTCTGTCAGCGGAAGGTACTTTTATTTTCATTTTCAGGTCCTCTTTGTTAGAGGGTCTCTCTCCAGGTGGAATTGGTATTCGCAACTTGAGCGATACACCTTTATCTTTTTTATCAGATGAATGTTTGTCAGTCTTGTCAGAGTTGGGAAGCTGAATTTTCAGTTTAGGAGGTGATGTCAAAGAGCTTCCAGTAGGAATATGTGTGTGCTTTTTGTGATGCAGTTCCATGTGGACTGGTGCATACATATCCCTTGCATCTACTTCAACAGTTTCTTGTTTACGCTTCTCCCTGTATTTGTCCAGTGACATTTTATGAGGGACAGCCATTGGAGGTGCATAAATTTGACCATGATGTTTAGCAGTTGTTGGCTTATGAGCATGCTCTGGCTTAATAGAGTGCTCTGAACCTTTATCAGCACGGTGTAGGCCCGAATGAAGCTGTACAGCAGTGGCTTGTTGAAAGTTTATGCCAAACTGAGCAACAGGTAAAGAGTTCTCTGTTTTGGGATTATACACTTCAGTTCTAGGCTGCTCCTGATGTTGAGGCCATTCATGGTGGGATGCCATAGTGTATGAGGTACTTGGCATTGCTGTGGCCAGTATTGCCAGTTCATCTGGGTTATGAGCTGCCTGGATAGGCATGCTTCCTGAGTTCAAAGCTATTGGTGGAGGAAAAGTGGAAGAGGATGCCTTGGGAAAACTTGCATTAGCAGTGATGCCAGCAACAGGATCCATCAATATAGAATTTTGGACCAGGGATGGACCAAGGAGGGAATTGTCAAGCTGTCCATCAGACTTTGGCTTCCTTGCAGCCTGGCTAGCCTATTGAGAAATAAATAAATAAAAAAATAAAAAAAGTAATCAGATTAAAAGCAACCACTGAAGTATTTATCATCACAAAAAGTAAAACTATGACAATATTTAATCTAAAAGAAAACGTTAAATGTAAAAATATGTTAACTTTTAGTAATCGAAAGAAAATAACAGTGACAAATAAAGTGAGAAATATTTTATTAAATATTCTCTAAGACAACAGTTTCTTTTTCTAAGAGCTTCCACGAAGCCAATAAGAACCCTGTTGAAGCAGCGATGGCTAAAGCTTGATATTCCAGATATCTGCACTACATCCCTGTGAGAAATTCAATTAAAACATACTGGATGCCAAGATTAACCAACACAACAATTGGAAACCACAAGAACACCGAGCAAGTTACAGAGTTCAAACTTTTAGTGATTCCGAGCCTTAAACGTAAAAGTTAAACTCTGGAAATGCCAAACAAATGCTACACGTGATGTTACTTAGGTCATGAAAAAGCATTAGGAAAGATTTGTTGTATCAAAATAAATAAGTACATAAATCTAGATCTTTAGGAAACTAAAGTGATTTAAACATTGGAAATCCGTTGCTGCAAAAGACTGATTCATCAGATACTCAGTAAGTAAAGGAAACTGTCAGCTCCAGCTGCTCTGTTAAAGCATAGCCATGGCTGATCTAGCAGGAGAGGCTGACACGTGTACTGCAGACAAGATTGATACTTGAAACATGTAAAACATGAGTAGTTTTGCAGATTTGTTAAAGTTCTTTACCCTCCAGTTTCGAATCCTTTTCAGTCTACTTGGCGTTTTCTCGAGAATTTGCAGAAATTCATGAGTTAGCTCTGGAAAGGGAAACAAGATTATCTTTCTATGTTTTCAAACCACTCTCTTTCTCACCTATCCAATTAATGGAGTCAGACATCAAAAACACTGCAGTACAAGTCTTAAACACAGATTGCCAAGGTAATCATTGGTTCAAGACACCCTCAAGATCTATGCAAGATAGTCTAAGATGCAGCAGTTATTTCAGCATTAACCCTGCTTACACATTCAAGAAAGCAAAACTGTCAAGTTTAGTTTTTCCATTAAAATATTTAAGGATGTCCTTAAAAAATTGGTATTTATTCCTAATCTACAAAACAAAGCAGCTAAAATAGCTGTCAGACTGGAAAATGAAACACCGGATTGATTATATTCTCGGTGGTAATACAGGATGACCTATTTTAACATTCCTAGAGAACTCGCCAATATAATTCTCACTTTCACATCCAAGTTCTTACCATCAAGCAGTTCCAGAGTAACTGATTGATCCACATATTCCCACCAGTGTTTGCCATCCGTTGATACAGGAATTTCCCAGTTGGACCATTTGCAAGCCAGATGAATGCACACACATGCTATTACTGTCGGTTTGTACTGAAGGCAGAATGTTGTAAGGTGCAAGCTGCATAAAGAAAAACAAGAAAAAAGCCATAACATTTAGTGCATGTACTTTAAATATAGAAATGCAAGTTATAATCCAATCCTAAAACCTGCATACATCCAATTTTATAGCAAATCAACACAAAGGAAAAAAATGATCAGCTTTCATTAAAAATGATTTAACTCAATGCACTCTGTACGTCACCTATTAAAAGTATCACACGGTTGGTTTAACAAGACAAACTATGTTTACATTTAAACAAAGCAAAATTATATTAAAGGCTGCAAAACAAATGAACAGAATCTGCTCCTATTTCAAACTAGCTAAACAAAATGCAATTAAACTTCAGATTAGCACAAGTGGAAATACGGTTTCAGAAAAGCATAACATGACTGGGTGTTTATTCTGTAAGCCAAGCTGCTGGCAAAAGCCAACACAAAATTGTATTTTTATATTAATTCAAAATCATATATTTTGTTAGGACGTAGCAGTTACTGTAGGAATTGTGTGTGCATCTGCCTATGCATTAAGAGCACAGTCCATGAAAATGCCCAGATAATCGACAAAATTATGTAACATTTATTTGAAGAAAACTTCAATTGTCAGCAGAAATTATCAACTTTATTGAGTCCTAGTGATATATTCATTAGTCCCTTAAGGACCAAGCCTTTTTTCAGATGTGACATGTTTGTGACCCAGACCTTTCTGGCACTTCTGCAATGCGTTCATTCTATCACAACTTCACCTGTTCTGTCTAAGCACACCCATTAATATTATATATTCTTTTTGAAGGAGAAATATGGCTTTTGATACTCTATATAAATACACAACACAATATGAACTAGAATAAAATATTGAAAACAAAATATTTTTAAAGTTGTTTTTCTTCTCAGCTCTACGTTTAAAAATTTCTTCACACACTTAAGACAATTAACTCAATAGATTTACTACTTAGTCCTAATTGTTAATCAAGTACTCAATATGTATAGGATTTTAATTTTTAGAAGTTATAAAACAAGCACCATTTGAAATACAGTTTTAAAGCTAAAACAGTGAAAATGTTAGTATGCTGAAATTACAACTTACATAGTAGTGACAGAATGCAAAACATAAAATTATATATTTGTAGAAAGTACATGTCCCATGCTAATTAACTAAATGCATTTTAACACTTTAATTCAACCATTTTGTAATGAGTCACGGCCACAATTATTTACATTTTGGTTTTTTTCTCTGCACATATTTTATTTTGGGGAAATTCACAGACCACACATGTTCCACATCACATATTTGTATTCTGCTATGGCTCTTGATTAGAATGATATCACAACAAATATACATTTTCCCTTGGTCTTGCCCTCAAAACAACCATTAATCCTGCCCCTAAAATATCCACTTAAGAGGACTTCCATCAGCTGACACCAGTACTGAAGTCCACCGACGGGGGATTCCCTAGATCACCCAGTACAGAGGGCTCTGAACTCAGTAGCGGTATTTCCAAGGATTTAAAGGGCTATGTGCAGCATTCACTTTTAGTGCTGCACATAGCTCATCTGTTAGTCTGGCGCCACTAACTATGGCCAGCTGACAGAGAGAAGCCTCATATCTGGGGTTCCTAGGTAGCAGGTATTTAACCCCTGCATGTAGTTTGACTGCATTAGAGGCTATGCCAACAAGGGATATTAAATACCTGCACTGCAGGACAGTATAGACTGCCACATGGTTGTTAAAATGATTAAACAAAATTTCAGATATTAAGCACACAATCAGAAAAAGTTTAATTAAATTCCATCAATAAACAGTGTTCATCAATATAATGAATGTTTTGCGATAAAACCATTGCATAAATAAAAATGGAAAGCCCGTTTTAAATCAGTTTAGACGTAAAAGAACTCTCAATGCTAAACAGCATCTAAATTCAGAGGGCCATGGTAAAATTTGGGATGCAAAGCACAAAAGGAATTTAAATAAATTTGAAATGCCAGACTAAGAGCTATGACCAATCTTGTGCAGATTTTTTTAAAATTATTTTATAAAATTGTAATTATTGTATATGTGGAGAATGAACTATAAGATTAAGTATCATAGTACTTACCAAGATGCCCTGGGTAAGTTTAGATGCTTAGTTGCTACTCGGGGCTACCAATTTAATTCTATGCACTCAACATCAAGAAACTGATCAAAATGCATCACTACATTTCTTAGTATGCAATCCACCCCTTTGTGCCATAGGCCCCTGACACTACATAACACACAGAAGAAAGACCAGGCAATGGATAAAGCAAAGTCTCTCATCTATGCAACAAGGGCAGTAAGACACAGAAAGGAGATCCTGCAATAAAGAAAGCTATAGTGTGCTAAAGTAGTGCAACAAAGGATCAGGATAACCACCTGTTGGTAGCCATGAAATAGGACGTCTGTGCCAAATCCTTGCTTGCTGCAAGAAAAAGAAGACAAAAAGATCATGGGTTTATTGAAAGGTATAATAAATAACACATAAGTATTTAATAGCCAAAAAATTTAAAATAAACCAACCTCTCACTAACTGGGTACATTTGACGACATCTGTATGAGGATGTTCAATAGTGATCTCAAAGCCTAAAAAAAAAAAAAAAAAAAAAATATATATATTATATATACTGTTACAAGACTTTTAAAACAGCAAAGTATTTAAACAAATATGAATGCGTAGAGGGGAAAAATAGCTTAAGAATCATATCACAAATGCTGATGGTTTCCCCCTCTTCTCCCTTATGAATGAACCTAAAAAAAAAAAAAAAAAACACTTACCTAATGTCTGTAGCAGTACAGTTTCAAGTATTACTAGCTCTTGCGCTTGTTGCAGGTATGTCTAGAAACAAATGTTAAATCCATGTCAGTCCAAAACAATGGAGAAACTGGTAGTTTCACATAATGTTAAAAAAAAAAATTAATCACTGCCATTTAAGTACATAAAAGCATTTGTAAAAAATAATATATAAACCATAAACAAATACACTGAATAAAATTCAAAAATATATACAGATATGAACAAAACAGAAATAATGTAAACTTGGCCTTTAAAACTTACTGCTGGCTCCTAACCTTTTGTACATTTACTGTTACAGGATACAATGCTATTTTATTATGGCTCTGCTCTGTTTACTGTTGCTTTTTTTTCGAACCTACATTTTGTTTTATTTGTTTCATTTTAGTTTATGAAAGTGCAATAAACTTTCAATGAAAAAATAAATAAATAACTGCATCTAATTCTCTATGTGGATATAGCTCATTGGCTTAAAGAGCCACACCACCATATAATGCAACATCCAACCTAGATTTTATTTGTGTGTTCAGAAATATGGATAGGTACCTCCTTAAACTAAATTTCCACACATTACACCAAAAAATGAAACTATGAGGTAAAAATAGCCTATCTGAAAAGAATTCCCCAACTCAGCCATAGACACAACTTGTATATATTTGCCAGAGTTTTGCAATCGGGATGTAATTAGCAAAAATTTAGAAAAAATGTATTACAAACTATTTTTTTATACTTACGTCACTTTTTGTGTCAAGTTGAGCGTCTGGATTAAGACAAGCATGAGACACTTTAATGACATGTTCAAGTTTTCGCGGCTGCTCCTCCACTTTGGCAGCCAAGAACAAAGCAGTAGGAGACATTACCTATGCAGAATATATAACCAAAACATTTAATGTAGCTACAATAAAGTTATCTTGCAATGATCAAAAACACTGCTGAAGAATATCAGTAACAGGTAAAATAAATAAATAACAGTAAAAAGCACAGATACTACAAAAGAAAAAAACCATATTATGCATATACCTATTTGCCTGCTCAATTAATGATCATCTCATCCAGTCAATTTTACCTAATCTTACACTAGTTTTCCCAGTACACTCAAATTATTTCAAAAAGTATTGAACATGCAAATAAAATGAAAATGTTAAAATCCATATATAATTCTTTCTAATTTAATTGATATATATACACAAAATATATATTTTCTAATATCATTAAGATATATACACTGATAGACCATGTATCCTGGGATTCACTTCATATAAATTGCTGTGTAACTGAACAACATTTATTGATAGTCCCTATATAATAAACTCCTAAAACTATTGTACAAATAGGAATTTAAAATGTCCACTAATATATGGGAAAAAATGTTTTACTTACATTTCTGTGGTATTTGGTAAAAGAGTGATGCATATAAAATCTGTGCATGTAAACAATTGCAGTGTTTATTGTCAATTGCGAGCTGTGTGCTGTGGTTAAGGATAACAATAGTTTGGTAGAAAATATTTCAACATAAATGGAACCCACACACATTCTAAGCAGAGAAGCTCATAGGATAGAAAATCAAAAGGTGGTTTAATGTGGCGCTTAGAACGGATATATATGTATGTGAGTGTATGTGTGTGTGTGTGTATATATATATATATATATATATATATATATATACACACACACACACACACACACACACACACACATTTATAAACATACATACACACTTATTGCAAAGAAAATTGAGGCAAGCCTATGTCATCTCACCATTCACAAACAAAATTTGGCTTATAGCAGGTAGCAACATATAGCTTATAAACGTCCAATATATCTTCTGTAATCCACAGATTTTAGGGCATGACGGTAAGTAAGCACATCATTTAAAAAGCTCAGAACAGCTAGTATTCCATACATTAGACAACTAATCAAGACTAAGAATCCTGAAAAATGTTGCATTACACTAGAGCAGAAATAAAGGAACACAATCATCGAAGATTAACGCTAAAAATCACAACAAACCGCAAACCATATGAACCTCAACAATATGAGAAAAGCCAAGAGAGAAAAAAAAACTAAATAAGGTCAAAATAGCTGAATTGCACATCTCACCTAAGCCACATCTACTTCCAGTTTGGCTTCTATCACTTTGAATTCTCACTTTAGTGAATAACCCTGTACAAGGCTTATTGCCCCAATTGTGAATTTAGAAGTAAAAGTGTATTTTAAACATTAAAACAAATTTCATTTCGGCTATAGGTGTGAAATAATGCACTCTGAGTAACCGGCATTTTAGTAAATATTTTTCCTGCACTTAGCCAAAACCCACCGTGTGCCGGGCCCCCGTGGGCCCCTAGCCAAAACCCACCGTGTGCCGGGCCCCTAGCTGTATTCCCCCTGTGGGCCCCTAGCCAAAACCCACCGTGGGCCCCTAGCTGTATTCCCCCTGTGGGCCCCTAGCCAAAACCCACCGTGGGCCCCTAGCGTGGGCCCCTAGCCAAAACCCACCGTGGGCCCCTAGCCAAAACCCACCGTGGGCCCCTAGCCAAAACCCACCGTGGGCCCCTAGCCAAAACCCACCGTGGGCCGGGCCCCTAGCTGTATTCCCCCTGTGGGCCGGGGCCCTCACACAATGCCGGCCGGAGGTGCTGACCCTTTGTCCCTCACGGAGACTCCCCGAGTTGCACCGTGTCTCCAGTGAGAGACAGACTAGGCCGCAGCCGGCTCCGTGTTCTGCCAGCGTGGCTCCGTGCCCGGCCTCCCTCCGTCCCCAGGCTAGGCCCCCGGACTCACTCCCTCTCTCCCCCCCTGTCCCCAGGCTGTAGGCCCCGCTCCCCTTTCCGGCAGTGTGAAGGATACACATTGAGCCGCTGGCCCATGTCCTGGATCAGGTTGGCGGCCTGCTGGCGGTATGACAGCTCCTTGTCCGCCTCCACCCCGCACCGCCTGGACGGGCTGCTCTCCAGCTGCTCCCGGGTGAAGAACCAGCGAGCTGCGGCCGACCGGCACTCCGCCATGACTGCTCCAGCCAGCGCCGAGCGTCTGCAGCCGAACCCCTAGTGCGTCACAATCACCGGAAGTGTCGTCAGCGGCGAGACGGAAATCGACGACGTCCTCACGTGACCCGGCGACCCCAGCGCTCGCACGCGCTCTCTCTCACTCTCTCCAAACCTTCCAACTACTCCCACAGGCCCTCTCTGAGTCTGCGGCGCGCGCCGGCCGCGCGTTTACATAGCAACCGCGAGACGCGTGCCAGGGTCACGCCCATTCGGTGGGCGGGGCCATGCGAACTCAGCGCTCACTGGTCGCTTTCCTATGACGTTGTGGGGGAAAAAAAAAACCCAACAACCAGCTTTATTGACACATTTACATTTATTTTGCTTGACAATAGGACATAATGAAAGGAAATGGTTGGATGGACTCTCAAACCCTCTGACTTACTTATGTTTAATTTCTATTTTTTTTTAACCACCAGACAAAGAGCTGAAAGGGTTTCTGCAGGTGCAGACAGTCTGAATATTCAATCAAAGGCCTTCATCATTTTACATTCAATTAAATTTAACATAATTAGCATCATTATTACTGAACACAATGAATTCTCAATAAAAAAAATAAACAACTCATATTTATTTCAACATCGCAAAAAAATAAAAATAAAAAATAAAGTTTTATCGTAGCCCCTCGAACAAGAAATAAAAATGGTTAAATCTCAAATCTCAACATATCTTTCCTGGCAAAATATTTTAAAAATAAATTTAAAAAAAAAAGTTACTTATTGCTTAAACTTCCAGGAAACCCAGCTTAGGGTCACTCACACGTGGTTTATAGTACCCTCACGAACTGGCAAAATATAATGATATTATTTCCCCCTTTTAGTTTTAGATGTGGTGAGAATGGAGGAACGTGTTTACATATTTGGTGGCCGCTGTGATAAAATCTCCCAATACATGGAATATCATTTTTAGTCATATTTCTGAAATGACAAACACACTTCTAATTCCGTCTCCCATAAACGCTCTGTTACATCTAGATCTGAATTCCTCATTGCGAGGAATTGGAAAGTAGCAGATAATATTAGCCGGTTGGAAATTCCAAATCCAAATTAATTATCAATGTAGGAAGGGAAGAGGATTCTACTTGCCCTCTCATAGCTTAAACAACTTTTACACATTGAAAACATTTCCCTGATATTGAGAAGTAGTCTGTGTTATGAATTAACTATATATCTAAAGCTCTCTCTGTTGAATGGGCCGCCATTGTATTGAACTTCAGTATTTGTGTAGATTTGGTTTTGTAATGTTGTGAAAATGTATTACAATTGAAAAATGTTGATCTTGTTTTTGGTTACATATTTCCTTTAATGATGTGCTATCCAGTTATTATGTTACCGGATATTATATTGTAATTTTTTATACTTTGTTAATAAAAAAATAAAAAAAAAGAAACACAAATTTTACACTTTTAAAGTTTATCAGAAATGAGTTTCTATTTGAATATATACCTAACACAAACATGAGTAGATAAAAATAATAATTCCTGCACATTATGTGCAGTTTGAGCACTAGAAATAAACCAAAAGCCAGAGAGAGTTTTTAAAAAATGTATACCTTTTTTTCTATGGGTTTTGAACTTTTAAGAAAATACTAAGGGTTGAAATAGCAAACATAGATATAAATAATGTAAAATATCTTTACAGTATGCAACTTCATGTATAAAGTGTTTATACTACGTAACCCATTTACTAACAAGCAATTTGCAGAAAAAAACACTCCCAAGAATCTACATTTTTTGGGTTTCCAGAAAAGTAATGTTTAAATGTATTTTTTGTTTCACTTACATTGTCCAACATGCACTCAATATGTCCGATATTACATTGTCCAACATGCACTCAGTTCTCAGTTTTGTGTGTGTATGTGTATATATATATATATTAGTGTACATAGTCTGGTATTTTGAGATCTAATACTTTTATATTTATATATATATATACATGTATTAGATGCCAAAATACCAGACTACAATACTACCAATATATATATATATATATATATCCCAAAATATATTGTATATATTGCCATGACATTACCCATATCACCCTCACATTGCAGCCATGTTTCTGGACACACACACACACACACACACACACAAAGACACGGGCACACATACACAAACTGATACATGCATGCACGTGTATACACTCGCACATACACACGCACACACCCTGTTGCTTGTGGTCTTGTTGTGTGTTGTGTTTATTCTTAATTTGCACTTCAAGGTGGTTTTTACTTAATCATGGAAATTATTTAGAAGAATACTACATATTCCATCTTCCACCATGAATTTTTAGCAGTTCCCCTTTCCTCAATTTCTTATACTTTGAAAGTACTGCAAAAACAATTTAGTTTTTTTTTTTTTTTTTGTGTGTGTGTGAGTAGGTGAGGGTTTTTTTTTGCATGTATCTAGTCATGGCAGGATTGAGATTTTATATACTTTTGCTGTGCATTATATAGTTTTGTTTTCTACTTTTTTCACACTTTGGTTTAATACATTAGTGGCAGGTGGTTATGTGAAGCAATGTAAAGTGATCTTCAGGAGTCAAACAGACTATTGAAATTATAAATTTGGAAAATCAGCTATTTGATCTCAATCTGAGCCTTTGTAAATGTTACAGTTGAGTTTCAGTGTATGTAAATTGTGATATACATTTGAATAGCAGAATAATATGGTGGAATACACATCTAGTCTCATTGTACTGCACAGTACTGGCACACACATATTATTCAATAAATCACATTCCGTAGACTTTCTTATTTTAAATTCAGACAATTCCCAGCCATTCTTAATTTAAACTCAGACAATTTCCAGCTATTCTTATTTTAAATTCATACAATTCACAGTTAAGTGAATAACATTAATAGAATTATGTAGAACAGATAACCACATTGGCAAAGTCAAAGAGTCTGAGATGGAAATTGAGGTGAATTTGATGTGTTTCTAGATCAACATTTTTGGCCTAATTTATGGAAATTTAGTTTCAACTCTTTAGTGATAATAAAAACACCTGAGATGAGACTATAGCCCAAACCCATGTTATTACTAGGTGTCTGCAAACATTACCTTATGGTTATATGCTATAGTGCCTAATTTATTTTTACACACTGTATTCATAATAAAAAGTTGACCTTTTGGTTAAGCCGCATATAAAACCACGAACTTTGCACTCCAATTTAGAAAAAAAAGGTTTTTTATCCGTTGCTCAGCAACACATGATACAATGGAACAGGATAGCAGCACTCCAGGATTTTTCAAATTTACTTCTTTTATTAAATATAATCCTACTTTACAGCACGGTCAACGTTTCAGTTCCCAACTGGAACCTTCCTCAGGACAACATGAAAAGGTTATATACCTTACTGACCTCTTTAATTCTTACTCGTCAGAAATAATTTCACATATAGTATACAATGCGATGAGGTCATCTGTCTGTTATCCAGAAGTTCATTAATCCATCAATTAGTCAATTGAGCCATCTGTACCACTTCCAATGTGTAAAATTCAAAATATTTTATTTTGTAATTTTGACACTTTATGAAACACACTTGTGTATTTTTTTTATTCCACCATATAGATTAACTTATCTTTTTGCTAGACTGAATTATAGTCAGGTTTGCATTTACTGTGTGTACTATTGTATTCCTGTTTGTTTGTAAAAGTTATTAACACGTAATTAGTTTAATGCAAACACAATTACTTGAATGCTAAATGACAACTAAAATAATTAATTTTGAATGTCAATTATTTGAAACTATTTGAAACTTTTTAAAGATTGCAGATGAGTTGTGGTCATTCTTGATTAAATAAATATGTGCCCGAAACTGTGAAACATATATCTACATATTAATTATGTATTGGTCAAATGGTTTAATTGCAGACTTTAAACCCAATTTTCCAAGTAATGTGTCCAAACTAAATTATTTCCCCAAAGATCAATTTTACAATGAGACACATTTGTTTCAAATTTTTTTTTTTTTTTTTGCAGTGCATATATGTATAACAAGCATGTAGGTGGTACCCCGACGGCATTCCACGTGCTTATTTCAGAACATTTATAACAGGGGTATATGCTAACAATGTAGTTTATGTAGTTATATATAGGTTGAAGATTATCATGTTGGAGCATATTTTCACACAGATTAAACTAGGACAAGCATGTATATTGCAAACTTCCTGTTACATCTATGTGTGAGAAGGTGTATAAAGATTTATAGTTGCTAGTGTGTTCACATGCAGGTAAACCAACAGTCATCTAGTGAGTTTTAACTATGCTTAGGATGCCACATTAGATTGTGTTAGCTAGCACTTAAAATATTACTTATCGATCACTCAGCAAAGGGTATGGGTATAACAGGTTAATGGTCGTTACTGTAAGTTTAGCCAGCAATCAGAAAGCAGTTTGTGCGTCAGGAGGCATATTCGGGGAAGTCCAGCGATATGCCTGACAATTGTCACGGTCACCTTCATCCGATCCCCTCTGGGCTCGCACTGTAGCCCCTGGGAGTCGCCATCCCCTGTGGTGTCAAGGACATACGTGCGTGTAGAAGCCATGCATCCGGCATTTGGTGATAGAGGTTTGCATATTGGGGGGGTCGGCGCTTCCCTGTTGGGCAGGTCGCTTCGGCACCCGTCCGGAGTCGTGGCCGCTTGAAGCAGAGGTGAATGTGGGGTTGAGAGCTGGCTCTTCGTTGCCGCTTGTTCCGCCGGTTCCGCCGTCGGCGCCTCTTAGGGGAGCCGCCGATAGTAACCGTTCTGCGTCCGCTCGTAGGGCTGGAGGTCTCTGGAGGTATACTTGCAGGAGTGGTCAGTATAGTTGAAGCAGTGTGCAGCTTTCTCTCTGCTATCTTAGCCCAGAAGGCAGCAAATATTTAGTCGAGTTTGGACAGAGAGTGATTCGCTGGATCTCCGCTGGCCCCCATAACTGCCGATTGGCACGTGGCATCCGCCATATTGGAGTCGGTGGTCCTTGGGTCGGACAGTCTTTGGGGCAAACAATCGGTATGCTGTTGGTGCCGGGATATCCCTCACCGGCAAGGGGGGGGGAGAGGGAGGCTCGTGGGTGGTCCTCTGCAGCTTTATGGTCCGTTTCTAGGGAGTCTCGGGCTGGGTGATCGGCCGCCTCACCCTCGCCTTTGTCTCTACCCAGGTTGCGGGTCTGAGCGTCGCAGTAGGCCCCAGCGATATGTCTCGAGTTCCCGGTGTCTTAGAGTCGTACTTGTGGTTTCGTTGCAATCTCCTTTGCATCCTCTACATGGGTGGTGCAATTTAACGGAGTTTGTAGCTTGTTAGCCGGGTTATTTTGGCATAAGTTGTAGTTTCAGACGGGAGCTCGTGCTACCCATGTCTGATCAGCTCCACAGCCCCATTTGTTTCAAATTTAACAGCAATTAATTTACAAGCAAAATAAAATGAAACTATGTGAAACCCAGACTGAAGAATCCAGCACTGCGGAGTTGTAACAGTTTAGTTATCACTATGGAAACCAGTGGGGCATGTATAGACACTACATCCGTTCCCATGGTGATTGCTCCACATTTAGAATGTTGCACTACTTTCTAGATAGCAACATGTTTATAAATCAAACTCAACCAATTGGAAATAATGGCTCGCTAAAACTCCCTCTTTCCCAAAAAAAAGAAAAATTAAAAAAAGTAAACAAGGATGGCTAACTTGTTTAAAATGGCCGCTTTCAAACCTAGCACAAACACAAAGCTATATACAACAGGTGCTATACTGTTGTCCAAATCTTTTAAAGTAGTTTAAACTATTTTTCAGTAAATAGTTGATACATAAAAGTTGGCAAAACAAAAACATGGTCGTATGGTATTGTAGTAGCTGCACAATTTAAAAAAAATGTGACATCCAGTCCTATGCTTAATTCGGACATGTCATCGTCACTGTATATGCTGAATGGTGACAGTTGCATTCAGAGGCCTTTTCTGTGTCAAGTGAAAGCAACTTTAATGGGATTTCCTAGCACTAATTTGTTTAATTAGATTGCCTTTTAACTAGATGTTATCTTGAGGTTTTTTGTTTTTTTAGAAAGCACAAATGCTACTAGACATGTGCAGATAGCAGTACGAAAGGTCTGAACTATAATATTGCGTAAGATCTTACAGGTAAACAATGTAATCGTTTTATTTCTTTGTGTATTTTGCTTTGGTCATTATCTGACCCATTATGGTGGGACTTTGCCCTGTTCGGGTTTTACAATTGGGTGTTTTATAGTTTTCTGAACAATCGTATCTCCTTCCAAGAATGCATTAAAGAGACATGATAAATATGTTATGTCTGCTTCTCAACAGTTTGTATAATAAAAGGGCGGTTTTATTCACTAAACACATCTCACTGTTGGCTCTTCATTCTGTTTACTTTTTCAATCCATTTAAAATATTAAAGGCGTACAACAAGTATAGTAATACTTTGAGATTTGTTTAGTTTAGTATTCTCCACACACACAAAAGTCTTCACATGGAGTTAGTAAAGTCTCTTTTGTGAGACTAGTTACCAGAAAATCTGGGCACCCTGATGAGTGAAAATGGACAGTTTTCCTTCATGTGCCTAAAATTACTGTGCATGTCATTAGCACTGTCTGATATATTATATACATTTATGGCATATCTAAAAGACTCAGAGGGGATATAGTATGTTACACCTTGACATCTGTAGACTCTGTGTTTATCGAAGCCCATGCAATGAAAAGCTGAAAGTGTATATAGTCTCTGTAGGTCCCTGTCACTCCATTCCGCATTATTATTCTTATTTATAAAGTACGAACAAATTCCACAGCGCTGTACAATGGGTGGACTAATAAACAAGGGTAGGGTAGAAAAGTAGGCTTCGTGTTTTGTTTATGTGCGCTGTGTTATTGAGATGGAAGCGACAGGATTTGGCGATGGACTGGGGTAGAGGAGAGAACACCTAGGGAGTGCGCCTGCAAGGTAAAGATGATGGAAGCGCCGTTGACTTGGAGGAAGACACACATGGGAGTAGCAACACTTGAGGAAGGAAAGATCAAAAGTTCTGTTTTGGACAGGTTGAGTTTAAGGAAGTGAGCAGCTATCCAGTTGGAGATAGCAGAGAGGCAGTCAGAAACATGATACAAAAGAGGCATTAAAAGATCAGGAGAGGTCAGTTAGATTTGTGTGTAATTCGCTTAGAAATGATAAAGAAATCCAAAGGAGCTGAAGAGTTTACCAAGGGAGGCAGAAAAGCAGGGAACCAAGCACAGAACCTTGGGGAACACTAACAGAGAGGGGTTGGGGAGAAGAGGCAGAGCCAGAGCAAGAAACACTGAAAGAGCGCTGGGAGAGGTAGAAGGAGCACCAGGAAAGAGTAGTATCTTGTAGGCTGAGATTGTAGAGGATGAGATGAAGCTGTTGATCAATAGTGTCAAAAGCAACAGAAAGGTCAAGGAGAATTAGGATTGAATAATGACCATGAGATTTAGCAGCCCAGTGCAAGTGCATCATTAGATGCATGCACTAAGAGGTATACATTAACCCGAGCCGCAGTGGGCAGCTGAGTGTCAGCTAATTCCTTTCAGCCTATCACAACGCCCATTGCTGGTATGCAATGGTATGGCTAGAAAGAATCTCTGCCATAGATGTACTTTTAGTGGGTGGGAGGGGAGGGCTGGGCTGGGCTGGAAACCCTCGTTCAGTGCTATATTGCTTAAAAATGGAAACGCTAGTGTAGCGGTACTTACCTTATCTGGGGGGCGGCCGAGGTCCTCAGTTCCCGCTGCGCGCAGGGCCATCTTTAAGGAGGGGCAAAAGGGGCAGCTGCCCCGGGCCCAGTTACTCCCATGGGCCCCCTGCAGCACCTGAGGTAATCAGGGGCCACAGCCCTTTAATACTGCTCTGGACCGGGCCCTTGTAATATGAGGGTTGGCTGAATACAAACACACAGCTAGCCCCTCACACACTGCCCTGTGATCCCTTTTCTTTTCCGTGGCATGCTGGGAGGCAGTGAGGTCAGATCACTTCCTCCTCAGTGCCGCTGGGGAGGAGGCACACACCCCACGGAGGAGGATGCAAGCATTGTTGGGGAGAGGGACCATCAGCCAGGGCCAACAAGCTCCCACTGGACCCCAGGGAAGCCACCTTTCTGTACCCAAAAGGTAAGGAGACAGGAGGGTG